AACCATTATCAGTCTAGCCAGGCACACCAACAAACACCAGAGTAAGATCAACAGGCTTCTCAAGACCCACATCCTCCTTAGCACCATCAAGAGGACCTTCAACCGGACTATTAGAGCATTTGCCATTCCTATCCCTGGCCACCACTAATGAAACATCACCAGCATTAGAGAGCGCTCCTTCCACAATAGGCAAAGTAGCCAAATGAACATGACAATGCTGGCCGCCTCTAGGAATACCACCAACCCCACCATCAGAGTCATCCCTCTCTACATAAAGCTAATTCTTCCCAGTACCAATTGCCATAGAATCGGTCATATCGCCTTCGGGATTCTAAATGTCCTTCCCGAGATATCCTTCCACCCCTAACCAAGGCCCATAGTCCAACTCCTCCGATGGGGAAACAGAAGCCCGAATAGAAAGCCTTCCAATGATGCCCAATTATTCCATAAGCAAAACACAAAGACGGAAACTTTTCATATTGAACATGAATCCATAATTCCGAATCCGATGGCCCCAATAGCCTCACGTTCCGACGAAACGGTTTACTTACATCCAACTCCACCTTTAGGCCAAGAACTCGACTATCAACCAACAAAGTTTCTTTACTTTCCATCATATCCTTGTCCCGAAGCTCGACGTTCAAACACCGGCCAAAAGTATCAGCAATGCGGCGTCTAGCTTTTTCAGATAAGTAATTAACAGGGACATCCAACAGCTAAATCCAGAATGGTGAGGACTGAAACGATAACTCAGATAAAAGCAAACCATCCTCCCACTCTTTAAGCACAAACAGATGCCCATCAAACAACCACGGGCAACCCTGAAGGATCCTATGACAAATCGACCCATCCGGAATAATAAGTTAAAACATATTCTGTAATACCCTTAATTTTAAAAGGATAGTCTCGGTATTTTAATTAAATTATTTTATTGCATCTTTATTTGATTAATTGATTATTTGCTTATTTGTTTAATTATTTAATTGAATTATGTGGCTATTTTGTTTAATTGGTTAATTATTTAAGTGATTTATTTGTTTAATTGAATTATGTGCTTATGTGGCATTTCATTAATTGTTTAAATTGTTTAATTTGTTTAAGTGACATTGTAGGTTTAAATCGATTTATTTGTTTATTTGAAATCTGTAATTGTGTGGACTTAAATTAACTATTAAATTAAATGTTGAATTAAACTAAATTGATTTATTTCTTTTCCGTCTCCTCACAAGATTAGAATTAGGGTAAAGTTAATTGGCCTATAAATATACTTGTATAAGTCTGCCGAGGGTTTGAGAATTCTATTCACGAACAGTGAAGGCAGAGAGAAAGAATAGAGAGGTTTGAGAGATGACTGAGAGGGAAAATTAGGGTTTAGCTAGGAACAAGGGTTGAACTAAGGAGGGGTGGTTGAAGCTTGCTCGTGGGTTGAACCAGGAGCAACGGAGGGTCTATGAAAGCAACCAAGGTCGTCAGATTTATCAGTGAAGAAGGTTTAAGGTTTCAAAACTGAAATCAGAGGCAAGTTCATATTCTAACTCCTTCTCTTAGACATGTGTTATGTGCATGCCTATATAGTCTCCTGGACTTAATCAGACTTTAAAACGGATATTTTATGCATGTTAATTCTGACTTTAACCTACTTTGTGTACTGATTAATTGAAAGTGATTTATTGAATAAATTGTTTCAGATTAGGTTTTAATTCTTGTTAACGATGCGTAATGGATTTTTATGAGTTTCTGAAACTTTTGGGATATAGATTGAACCCTAGGAATCTTAATAAAATAATACAGAGGATTCTGCACATTGCCGGAGGCGAAGAAGATGATCGGATTCAGTATACAGCTCTCAGGGAGAGAGAGTTGGCTCCCTTGGTAAGAGAAGCGGCTCTATTTTTTTTTTTTGTCTTTCCGTGGTTTGAGTTCTGTTTGGCCGTTTGGAGTATTCTTAAGTTGTTTAAATTGCAATTAATGGTCTAAATAATTGTTTTGGACATATAAAAATACTTGGAAGCATGATTATATTAAGGGCAAATTTCTTAAATCCCCCAAAACTATCAATAAGTAATCATAAAACCCCAACCTGTTTCTAAAAACCCCAACACTATTATAAAGTTATCACATTGCCTCAATATTCGAGTCCGACCCATTAACCGAACTATGAATAACAAATTTAACCTTATCATTTAATGTTAAATTAAAAATAGAAAATTATTATTTTTTAAATTACAAAAATACCCTCTCTTATTCTTTTTCTTTTTTCTTTTTTGTTTCTTCTCATCATCATCTCCGGCAGCAAGAATACTGCCGGCGATGAAGCAAATCGCCGCCGGCAGCGACCAAATCAGGTATCAATGAAGAAATCAAAGCAAAGACAGCTCCAGTATTGTGTATAATAAACCAAATTGCGTGTCACACATTTGCACCAACATAAAATATAGAGAGAGAAAAAGTAAAGAGAGAGAGAGAGATGGAGAAGAAGCCGTAGTTCAGCTTCAAGAGACTGGGGAAGAAGAGTTCGTGGACATGGAGGTTCAGGAGTTCTGGGTTTCGGTGGAAGAGGCTAACTTTTCAGATTGGGTTCATGAACGACTCTCTCTTCATGATCGTGTTTGTGTTTGAAGCCATTGTTCTGGTCTCAACACTCTATTTTTTCTACTTATGTTGCGGTTGTAACTTCTGAGCCTTTAATTGGAAGAATTGGGTTCCCTAATATTCTAGAGAGAGAATAGGTACGTTGGAGTGAGAAACAGAGGAGGAAGATTGGGCTTGAGATGGAGGAATGGTCAAATCTTGCGTGTGATTGAATGTTTTGAAATTCAAGTCTAATGGGCCTTTTTTTTTTTTTTTTTTACAAAGAGCATAAAGTTTCTCTCTCATTTAAATTAGGTTCCCTGAGAAGAAAGATAAAGACGATGAGGTAGTGAAAGAAGAGAAAGGTGGGTGAGTCGTCGTGTAGCATTTTCACTCGCTCTTCTCCATATCTCTCGATGGTTCCTTAATATCTGTGACTTCGAGATTCGGCGCTTTAATGGCGTCATCGTCAAATCTTCATGACGTTGATGCATACACTTTTCATTGGTGAATCATTCTTCTCTCAATTTTGAAAAACTTCTGGTCGTCATCCATGGTGCTCACCAGGTCGCACTTTGGCAACCTAGTTAATCGGTAGAAGAAGGGCACAACCTTGGGTAGCCGATGAGAAATAAGTAATGGTAAGCAGCGACCAGTCCAGCGACCTCGCTGGAATGAGAGGAAGCTGACAGCGACCTGGTTTGGTCACTGCCGGCGGCGATTAGCTTTATCGCCGGCAATATTCTTGCTGCCGGAGATGATGATGAGAAGAAACAAAAAAGAAAAAAAAAAAAAAAAAGAAAAAAGAAAAAAGGAGAGGGTATTTTTGTAATTTAAAAAATAATAATTTTCTATTTTTAATTTAACATTAAATGATAAGATTAAATTTGTCATTTCATAGCCCGGTTAATGGGTCAGACTCGAATATTGAGGCAATGTGATAACTTTATAATAGTGTTGGGGTTTTTAGAAACAGGTTGGGGTTTTATGATCACTTATTGATAGTTTTGAGGGTTTTGAGAAATTTACCCTTATATTAATATGCTGAGGAATAGAACAACATGAAGTTAAACAGAAAACTTGCATGTTGAGTATTATATAGTTAATTTAATTACTTACTAGTATTTAGCAATTCTTCTATATATGATTTAATAGTGTTAATCATGTTTCAGCATTGTAATAAGCGTAGTGGATTATCTGAAAATTATTATGCTTATATGGGATTAATTGGTGTTGTACTTTATTATTTATTTCATCAGTTAATGGATTTGTAGATTGTAGGCACCGGTATGAGACGGTGACCTACTAGGGACGGATTAGTTCAAAACACTAAGTCTTACCTACTCTGGAATAAGGGAATGAATTATAAAATTAAATCCTACTTATATTTAAGTCAGATCAGCTGAATAAGTTGAATGACTAACTGGATTACTTGCTATTTATATTTAAGTCAGATCAGCTGAACAAGTTGAATGACTAACTGGATTTCTTATGGATGGATATGATAGGATTTTTATATATATGGTTATAGTACCACGATATGAACTTGAATCTTAGGATCGATGGTTAGGGAACATATATGCATTGGGATGCATAACTGGCTATGATGGTAGAGGTATACCCTGTTAGGTCTAGGTACTCATGCCCACTTTAGGTGCGTTTTGCATATTGCCTTCTATTCAGGTTGAGACCCCCTTTGTAGTCCAGTAAGAGTCCCTTAGTGTGGATATATATATGTATGGACTAGATAGATATTGTTGAGTTATCTAGGATGTATCTGCGTATCGGGTCTCTATTTGGATTGTAGTTAGAATAGAACTTGTTCGTGGACCTGACCCACTATTATTTTTTAGGTATCGGACGGTTCCAGTCTTAGAGCTTGTTCGTGCTGAGTAGAGACGGTCACTCATTCTTCCGACTACACAGGCCTGCTATTTATGTTTAGTTTTGAATTTCTTCTTTAGTTCAGTTTTTCTTCATTTAGAATTTTTATTAGGGGTCCACTCGATGGATTTTTGAATTGTTCTATTAATAGAAGATTTTATAGATTATGTTGGAGGATTATTTAATTAGCATTATTGAGGATTATTATTTAAAATTCTCTTTAGCATATTTAATTATTTATTTTTAAATTCTTTTTGTAGTCTGTATTTATTTACGTACTAAATTGTTTGATATCTATGTTCGGACTTGATCACTCGTTATCCGAGGGTATCACGTATTCCTCGCAACCTTCTAAACAAGGAGATGCGTGGAAAAAGACTCATTCTGTCTTTCTTTGGGCCACAGCTTCTGAAATATCGTACCAAAAGTATACTTTGCACCGACCAAAGTGATGGTCTACGAATCCCAAACTTTGCCAAACAAACTATTACGACACACAGTCACACCTTGGGCAGTGTCATCAGACGATAAAATCACTGGCTCCTGCTCCTCACGCATGAGCTTAAGCCCACGCAGTTGATCAAACTTGCTAATGATGCTGAGTTCTCTGTGAGATCAGAGTTTTTTCTTTTGTCTTTCTCTCATTTTTTTCTTCTTTTCCTTGCTGTGGTGGGGTTATTTTCCTCTGGCTATGGTGGAGTGTGATGCCGGTGTTCGATCTCTGGTTTTACTTTCCGTTGCGCGGATTTCTCTTGCAATTTGTTTGGTCGGTTGCTTTCCGACGGTGGTTGAAGCTGGTTTTGGGGGTTATGCTCTGCTGCAAGTTCCGGTTGGGTCCCTGTTTACGACCTCTGAGTGGGTTCCGGCCTTGCCTGTTGTGCTTTGGGTTTTTATGTTGATCTTCTCTGTTCTTGGTTCTATCTGGCCGGCGGTAGGGTTTCATTCCGTGTTCTTGGTTGGCGTGGCTATGTGGTTGGTTGGGGATAAGTACTTAGAAAGCTTTGTGGTGGGACCTGCTGGGTCAGTCCCATGTGGTATTCCTTTCACCGCGCCCCAATCTATCATTAGGTAACTTAAGGGTCTCTTTGGAGGCCCATATCTGTTATTGTTTTCATGTTTTGGTTTCATTTTTGGGCCAATATCATGTTTGGAGTGGGTTGATGTGGTATTAAATAGTGTAAAAACATTATGAGATTTGGGCCAAAACCCATATCAAAGAATTGGTGATATTGGGTGATATGGTTTACTGTAGCGGCCATATCAACCCAAACCAAAACCATATCAACCCTCATTTAACTATAGCGGTGATATCAAGTATAAAAAATCGCATATCAGAACCGAACCATTTTTCATCGTCATTTTCTCTCTCATCACACAGCTCATTTGGAGGCGATTTCATGGGCGATTGTTTTTCGTTTTCGTTACACCTTCGTTCCTAGGCTGCAGATCAATCAATCCTCCCGCACTTGGTTTTCAGCTCAATCATCTCTCTGTTATGTATTTGTGTGACCCGAATCTGAAACCCTAGATTGTTCTTCATTATCATTTTCTCTCTCATCGCGCAGCTCCTTTGGAGGCGATTTCTGAAGCCGATTGTTCTTCATTTTCGTTACACCTTCGTTGCTAGGCTATAGATCGATCAATCCTCCTGTACTTGGTTTTCAGCTCAATCGTCTCTCTGTTAAATGGAGTGTGACCCGAATCTGAAACCCTAGAGTTCTTCGCAACCACAGATCGACGCTTCTTCTCTGCAAATTTCTGTTGGTCATACATTCTGTGTATCGATTTCGTCAAGGGCGATTCTTTCAGGTGCTCTCTCTCTCTCTCTCTCTATATATATATATATATATATATATATATATATATATATACACAGTAACAAAATTCCAAATTTAGTTCCATAACTATAGTTCCATAATTCCATATTCTTTCAGTAGCAAATACAGTAGCATAATCCAGATTTAGATATAGTTTTATTCTCTGCAAAGTGATGAATAATTCCATGTATATAGAAATGGGAGTGCATAATTTCATAACTCAATTTTAATTTTATAGCTAAAAAGTAAAGCCTATTTCAGCAACTTATGAAAATTTATAAAGTATCATTCAAACCAATTATTTGGAAATTTAGCCTTCGTTAGTAACTGAGATCATATGACATGTTTAGAAATATAAATTGCCTGATTCAATTAAATTAATAAATTAGAAATAAGCATGAGATTAAAAATAAAATACCTAACTTTATATCATACAATCCCTATCCGGCCTTATTATATTGTATTTAGATGTGAGATTTTTGTATCCTCATATTTTATGCAATTACCAGGCATAATAAAATGTGAGATTATAAGTTGCATTACCTTGAATAAGTTGCATTACCTTGAATCTGATACGTTAAGAGAGTTTTAAGATTTGAAATCATATACTTTGACAGATGTAATATAATAATTCTCTTGTGTGTAATTTGAAGGTAGAAAATTTAAGAACAATGTAGGTTTGGATCGTGATTACTGTATGTTGTTCATGTGTTTGATTTTGCATGAGGTCATTTATACTCCAAATTTGCAACATAGCCTGAAAAAAGGTTAGATATATCTTACTTAGTACTGTTAAATTACTTCATTTCTACCATGTGTTATTTTGTTTATCTCTAATGTTGTTCATGTGTTTGGTTTTACATGAGGTCATTTACACTCCAAATTTGCAACTTAGCCTGAAAAAAGGTTAGATATATCTTGTGGTTATTGGAATAGTTTAGGAGGAAAACAGGCAATTTTACTTGGATTTGTGGATTAATTTTGTGGGCGGTGTCCTTATTAAATTGATTGAATGAATTTTGTGGGCAGTGTCCCTTGTTGAAATAATTTTGTGGGCAGTGTCCCTTATTGAAATAATTTTGTGGGCGGTGTCCCTTGTGTTTATTGTGATAGGTTCAATTTTGAAAATGTTTATTTTAAAGGGGAAGCCATGCCGGATTTTCGAAAAAGAAAAAAAAATGGAATTTAAACTTTGATTCCAAAAAGGCATGTGGTTGATTTTTTAAACTTGAAATGGATTTTTGAAATATATAACAGTTGAAAAATGTGAAATATATAACTGTGAAACATATAACAATTTTTCAGGCTTAGTAGAATGCAGCTGTTTCGTGGTGGAGTTGAAGGACATGGTAGTAAGTTGTGGGCAGTGGCACCAGTGGGATTTATAGGAAGCATTCTCCAGTTGCTGCAACTCCATGAAGCTGGTGATCTCTAACTTAAGCAAATGGATGCTTATGCAAGTATAAAGAAGTGTGTGTACATTTTATGGAATGAATTTTAGTGATTTCTAGATGTAGGTATGTACATTTTATGTAAATATAATGAAGTGTGTATGTACACACATACTAATTTTAAGGAATGTCTAGCTCTCTATATGTGCAAGTATATATATGAATGGTGCAACAACAATTTATTAAGTTTGTGATGTACCAAAAAAACTTGTCATTTCATGTCTAGCTTGTGATGTCTAGCTTCCTTGATTGCTTGCTTCTAATAATATTCCTGTTTATCATTTCTAATTATGGTTGGAGATTGTATGAAATATTCAGAAGTTGGTTATCAAAATAAATACTCAGAAAAAGGGGAAATGGTCTCAGGAGTTAATAATAAAAATATTAACACTTTGAAGGATCTCCAGCACAAAATTTCAAACTAATCTCAATGAAGTAAACCCATTCACAAGCTTCAATGTCCACCAAGCCTCAACTCTAACCAATTCAAGAAGATCAACGTTTTGGCTTTACTTCTTGTTAGTTTCAACTACAAGGATCTCTCTCTATCATTCGTAATGAATTTATATATATATATATATATATATATATATATATATATATATATATATGAAATAAAATAAAGTTAAATGGAGCGCAAATCAAAAGAAAAAGATAAATGGAGTGCAAAGATCTGCTCTCATTAAAAGATTATTACAAAGTTAGATTTGTACTTTGGTTGCCACTAATCATGTTTATGCCTCATAAACATCCCACATGATCTTATTTATACATGTAAATTTATTCATAATTTTTTTTCCCAACTCTTTAATGCAAAATATTTTTATTTTTTTATTTTAACAAATAATCTCAAATCATAAATAAAAGGAAAAATTACATATAAATGGAGTCAAAGTTCCATATTTACTTAGAGGCTGAGTCAAAGTTCCATATTTCTCTAAAATGGATTGCTGAGGTGGCACATGGTTTTTTACTATTTAGAAATTGTGGTGCCTAAAATACCCTTCCGCGAAGGTACTACTTTTTCTTCGAAGGTACGACTTTTTTTAACTGAAGGTACTACTTTTTGGCGTCCAGGTACCATGTTTTTTAAACACCCGCGAATGTACTACTTTTCCTCCGAAGGTACTACTTTTTTGAACTGAAGGTACTACTTTTTTGTTAGGGAAGGACATTTTAGGCACCACAATTTTTTAAACTGGAAAAAACCATGTGCCACCTCAGCAATCCATTTTAGAGAAATATGAAACTTTGACTCAGTTTCTAAGTAAATATGGAACTTTGACTCCATTTATATGTAATTTTCCCTAAAAAAAAAATGGACTATTACGTGTAAACTTATAATTGTATTCATATATATAATTATTCAAAACAAAAACAAAACAGTCTTTACCAAACATGTATTCTGTTATTAATTCAGAATTTTTGAAAACAAAACAAACTTCCCAAACGTGTTTTGTTTTCGAATTCTTTAAAATGCATAACATTACCAAACACGTTTTCATGTTTTTGATATACAATTAACAAAAATAAAACACTTGTTACCAAATATGGATCCGATTTCTACTAAAAACATACCAATACCAAAACGATTGTTTTCATATCATACCAAACCATAACATATAACGTTGTCGCGATCCAAACGGGCCCTAAGTATCCATTATATATATATATATATATATATATATATATATATATATATATCTATTGCAAGTTTTAAGTAACTTTAAACAATGCAAGAGGTCATGTTATTGACAAATATTGGAGTGACATACATCCTGTTAGGGGCGGTTGGACCATTACGTAACTTAGGTGACCGTCCAAGCCTCAACCAATAGTAAACCCCCAAAAATATATATATATTTTTTATATTACCATCTTCCTAAAAATCCCCAAAAAATTTATTTCTTTATATTACAACTTTCCTAAATTTTTTATTTCATTCTATTATTAGACTCCAGAGAATAGAAATGTCCCCAAAATTTGATATTTTCTTATAACCTCTCTCTATATATTTAATAGTGGGTCTAAAAGCAAATAGTTTACGTCCTTATCTCAACCACCACCCCCCCCTTTATATTTTTTATCCCAATCTCTCTCTCTTTTTTTTTTTTTTCATTATCATTACACCAGCCTTAATGATTGAATATACATTTAAAAATATTATATATACATTTAATTGTTATTGTGGGAATTGGTGAACCTTTCCACATTCTTTTAAGCTTTTATTTATTTATTTTTTTTCTCTCTCTTTTCTCAAATATTTTTCCCTCTCTCATTACCTATAATTGATAGAGTTATTCATAGAGAAAAATAAATGAATGAGAATGTAGATGATACAAGCCCAAATCAACCGAATTTTTTTTGTAGAATCAATTAATTTCTATAAATAGTGGACCAAGCTAGTTCTTCAATTCATTGTAGGTTTGAACAATTTAAAACATATAATTTATTTTCATAATTAAAAGTTCAAAAAGAAGAAAAAATTTCCTATAATGAAAGGAGTTTGTCAAAATTAAAGTTGATAAAATCATATTTAATGTAACTATGCCACAAGAAATATTAAATGAATTAACTATAGTATCTATTAAAAAAAATGCTTTAACAAAATGGTAATTCTGCATCTCAAAAAACAAGAGTGTATTTTTTAAACAAATATTATTAGATATTTGTTATATTAATATATTACATATTAAAAAACCAATTTTATTTTTTCCGCCTAAAAACACCTCAAATTATATAGAGTCGCCTTAACCCTGCATGTCATTGATGTCTTCAAAATATAACCAGTTTTTTGTTTTAAGAATGAAAGTGATCAGTCATTTTTCAATTTTAACTTTAAAAAACTCCTTTCATTGTAGGTATTACAACACAGGCTTTGAATCTTTTGGACCCTACAATAAAGTTCAAATCCAAAGGTAACCATTGTGCAAATATGGATCCCACTGTAAGCAAACTTTTTTTTTTAGTACCATGAAAAAAAAAAAAAAAAAAAAAAATGAACGTTGTTTGATTTGTGTTATAATATCATTAGTTCCTTGATTCTTTCGTTGCAGTGTCTTATTCAAATTTTTTTTGTTAGTTACGAGGAAAAAGAAAAAACTAAAAGTCTCCTTAAAGGGCTCAACTTTTCAATAGTGGAGCCCTGTCAGGACACATGCCACTCCTTCAACTTGTTTGGCATGCGTTTTATTTTATTGTTTTTATTTTTTAGTTGTTATAATATTTATTTTGACAATAAAAATATATTTGGTGTGACCTTATTTTATTTTACACAGTGCTAACGCAACACGGACAAAAAACAAAATGCCTAAAATATCGTTCTCAAACATGTTTCTGATTTTTTTTTTTTTCCAAAATACTCCTATAACAAAAATATTATTTCTGTTTTAGTCAAAAACAAAATACTTAAAACAATGCGCATGTCAAGTGGGCCCACATCTTATATTCGAACAAGAACGATATATAGCAAGTTAAGTAAGTTCTCTAGCTCAATACAAAGCACAACCTGAGCAATATTTTTGTATATTGACACGGTCACAAATAAAATTTAAGATAGATTGTGTTAACATAGTATCAAATTAAACACACGTTTTGCCAAATTTAAATTTTACGAATTAAAATTGAAACATATTTTAAATTAATAGATCAGATGCATGCAAATTACATATTAAAGAATTTGAATTCCGGAAAATCAAAATTTAATTGGTTATTTATGCCAAATACGAGGAGTGATACTCATATCAAACACTTGGCTATTTATACCAAATACAATTAGGACTTCACTTCTTTATTTATTGTATAATTGACCAATTAAAAGAGTAGGTCTAGCAATTTACTGCAACTATTCCGAAGCTCTCTACTTACTTATATTTGGTATAAACAGCAAACTAAAAATTATTCGGTTAAACAATTAACTGCAAGTATTCGGTATTGGGTGTGAGTAAATGCTCATATATAACAATGATAAAGCCTACAATTTTATTAAGCATAAAGCCCAGCCCACGAAAATAGGCCTGCATATCATATTCCAAACGAAGTCATATGACCTTCAACGACGCGTCCTTTTATTTGCATGTCACCGATGAACCTTGCCCTAATAAAAGTATAAAACCTTTCCAAATCCTAGCTAGAGACTTATCTCTGTGTTTAGTGTGTGTTCGGAAACTTAGAAACTAAACCTAACTTCTCTCTGTCTCTATTTCCACACCCATATATATATATATAACTTAGAAACTAAACCTAACTTCTCTCTGTCTCTATTTCCATATATATATATATATATATCATTCTTTGTACAATCTGTGTGATTTGCAATCCTTGATGTCGAAGGATATGGATGTGGCAGACATAGCAAGATATTGGGCTGACATTCTCAACCGGCACGTCCCTGATCGTAACAGGGTGAAGGTAAGTGGCGAGCAACTACAACTAGTAAGGTTGGAGAGCATGACATTGGAGTTGGCCTTGTCCCGGACCAAAGGGACGGACCGGTACTTCTGGGACGTGTTGGCAGAGACTCAGTTTGAGGTTAAAGTTCAGATGGTGACGATTATGGCGGACGAGAAGGGGTTGGAAAAGGTGTTGGTAGAGGAAGAAGGGCACGTCTGTGGGGTTTGTCAGGATGAGATGGAGGTCGGTGATAAAGCTAGAGCTATGGGTTGCATGCACCTGTTCCATGGATACTGTATTGTCAAGTGGCTTATTGAAGCCAATGCTTGTCCACTCTGCAGACATGCATAGAATGTAACTAATACAACAACAATTATATTGATTTTCAAGTTATATGAAACTTCAATTCGTATAAATATATTCTGGGTTTATGATATTGTATTATTCTAGTTGATTGAATGGCTATATCATTGTCATACTTTATTTATTTATTTTTATTATTTTGCAAGTATAGTATGTAAAATAATAGGCTTGCTGACATTGTTTTAGGAAAATTACGAATTCCATCAAAATAGGTTATTTTGTTGTATAAGAGGCTTTTTGATTACCTCTGTTATTCAATTTTTTCATATATTTTAGGCTTAATTTCAAATTTTCTTTGTGAATTTATCTCTTTACTTTATGAATTCAAAGTTGTTCGCGGTTCCTTCCTATTTGTGATCAAACCCTCTAGCGAGGATACTGTTAGTTCAATTTTTTTCCCCCTTGTTCTAGGATTTTAGTTCAATTATTTTTCCCCCTCTAGTTTTAGTTGTTAATTCGGATTTATATTCCCCTTCAGTTTTACTTGATTTGGATTCTCAGGAATTACAATTTGTTAAAAAAATAGAAAGTTGCATTTGGAAATAGGAATCAGTGTTTTAATTTTAAATTTAAAAAAACTTAGTTTAAAATTTTAATTAAAATTTTTTTAATTCTAAATCCACGGTTCCAAAGATAACATTTTTTAAAATTTTTTTTTAATTCAGCTCCATGAAAGTCCACCAATAATTAATAGGCCGTTCCAGCGCCGATACATAACTTGTTATAGGCCCACATACCAAGCCCAGAAAATAAGAGCCCACAGCTCAAGCCAGCCCATTTCGTAAGACCTTCCCAAGACCCTTTTTCAACGCGTTTTTCCATTATGTCGGCTGGACTCCTCGTGCTGCATATCAGTCACCGACCTTTCAATCTATAAAACCCTTTCCTTGCTTCTCTATTTTGAAAATAATTTGCACTGCTCAACTTCTCTCTCTAAAATCTCTCTCTACATATATATATATATATATATCATTAGTCCGGCCGGATTGCAATTCTTGGTGTCCCCTGGAAGATATGGACGAAGTTGGTATCGCAAGAGCGACGGCCGTGCTTCTCAACGGACTGGAAAACTCCGGCGACAGCGAAAGCCCCGGCAACGGACATGTTCTTGATGGTGGTTGGCAGAACTTGGGGCCGAAGCTAAGTGGCGAGCAACTACTATTCGTAAGCCTGGAGCGCAAGAAATTCGAGTTGGCCATGTCCCGAGCCACCGCAACGGGCCGCGACTTCGGTGAGGTGTTGACAGAGATCGAGGATAAAGTTTCAGTTCAACTAGCGAGGATTTTGGCGGACACGGTGGATCCGGTGCTCGAGAGCCTGACGCAGGTGGTGGTGGAGGAAGAAGGTCACGTTTGCGGGGTGTGTCAGGATGAGATGGAGGTCGGGGAAGAATCTAGTGCCATGGGTTGCAACCACACGTTCCATGGACCCTGTATTTACAAGTGGCTTAATGAGGCCTATGCTTGTCCACTCTGCAGATATAGAATCTAACTACGACTAATACATAAACCACAATCTGAATTTTCAACATTTGTACAACCTTCAATGTTTATAAATACACATACCCAATATTAATCGTTGATTGAAGGAGAATTTCATTGTTGTTATATATATATATGTATGTATATTTTGTGAGTAGCTGATTTTTTAATATATGGTAATTGTTTTTTAGTATCTGACCATCTTTGATGAAGGAGACTTTAGTACTGTTGTAGTTTCCTTCATTATTTAATCTATATCTTCTACCCTATCTATCAAGATTTAATTTTGATTCATAATACACAAGAAGTATATGGAAACTATGAGGTTACAAAGAGAGTTTAGAACTGTTGTAGTTTCCTTTAAGATATTGAATCTATTATCTTCTACCCATATCTGTCTAGATATGGACGGATATAGAAACTATTTTGTTGCTGTAACTTTTTAATTTACTTGCGGAGAAAGCAATATATCCTATCAGTACTCAAAAGTTTCACATTAAAACTTTTAATCATACCAAAAAAAGGATTTTCAGATTCATGATTTATCTAGTTCATAAATCTGCCAGTAAAGTAAAATTAACTGCCCGTAAATTTGCTTTTACGGGGCCGACTAATTCACGGGTTCAGGAACCGTGCAAAACAACCCCTTCACATGAATCGGTGAATTTGCTTTTACGGGCAGGAAAAACCGATATATTTCACACCCAAAAAGAACAACAATTGGAAAAACCCAACAAAGTTCTAAAACGTACACCTAAGAATTCTTCAATCTACCATGTATTATGTAGCACACTTGAAGCAATAAAAATCAATATTGTCAAACCATGCAAATGGACATTGAATCAGCACCATGAAATACTTATTTACTAAATAATACGTTTTTTTGTGAATTCAAATCAATTAATTGAACAAATAAGCAAATGGAAGAAATGGTCTTACAATGAATACATACAGATATATAACTAGTACTACTTTGCAAGCAAAGGAAACAAATCTTAGACAATGCATTGCAGACTGCAGTTGAGGTAAGATGTCATTAATAAGCCTTCCCGCCATAATCTTGTAAGCCGCCTTGTGTCAGACAGATGAACTCTTTCGAGAGAGTATATAAGCCGCATTTTCTTTTCTCGTTCGCTCACTCTCTCTCTTTCTCTCAAGTCATCCGTTGCTAACCTCTTGCCATTGATAAACAGAAAATCAATTTCTAGGAGCTGTGGCTCTCGGCTGTGACAATGTACATTGGAAGAAAATAGCTGGCAAAGAAGTTGGAAGAGTTACGCATATGGAATTCCTTCACCCTTAGTAGCTCTGCAGATTTGAGACTTTATGCCGAATGCTGTTTTGGACACGATCCACGTCGTTTCCAAACTCCAAGGGGAAGAATGTCTGAATAACATAAAAGCATTTTAAGTACAAGCTGGAATTCTCAAAATGTTAGTACAAGATAATCTTATACTTAATTAATGTCTCAGATTACAAGGACTGAGAAACTAAGACAACACAACTAAACTTGGAGTTGAATTTTAACCATTCGACGACGAAGAAGAAAAGCAATCTAAAATCCTGCAAGGTCTCGGATCGCTTAAGTTTGTTAACTTATTGAACTAATATATATGTCCCAGTTGGGCCACACATTTATGGCACCATGTTGAATAATTAGGGAAATCAGATAATGTCAAGAATCATCAGTAAGAGTCTATGTGCAAAGTTAAAACACACACACACACACCACTTTATTCCAAGAAACCATTATTTCCTTATCAAACAACTTGGCTTAATTTGAAAGACACTGCAGAATCAAAATGCTTAAAATATGTCCCCCCAAAATCTTAATGAACCCTAAAACTTAGTAATAATTGCTCTTATTAGCATGGAAAAATTAGATTCTGACAAATGCAGGACATTGCATCATTGGCTAACAACCTTCGAAGAGCACCCTTGCAATTCTAAATCAGGGTAAACCACTTCCTCACAGACCTCACCATGGCTCAAGCCCTCTACCATAACATGATCAATCTCACCATTCTATACCTAACTATCGAAGAATAAACCCATCAGGTGTCCAGAAAATAAAAGAAATTTCAAAACAGAGCTAGGATTGTAAGTTCAAGCCAAATGCAGGACAAAAATTTATCTGGAGCTGTGAGAAAGCTAAGCAAGACTTCAGTTACTCTACATGGCATATCTATCTTAAGATAAATTTGATCACGCATCTTATTATTTTCAGGAACTTGCAGCTACGCTTGAGACAGAACAGTAGCATCCATACTTCCCCAAGTGCATGTGTGCGTTCAATAAACGAAATGAAGTAGGTATGATTTGTGTCTTTATTCTATGAATGCACACAAGCAATCAATGATTCTTATCTTACTAAATATGCATATGGCGAACTCATCATTAGTTCCAGTACATCAAGACCTAAAACTCAATAAATCCAATGCACCATAGTAAGATTGAAACTTAAAAAATTAAAAGCATGAATTGCATAGAATTTTAAAATATGCACATTAGAAAGGAAAACTTTTATATCTTGTTAAAATTAAGAAAAATAATTTTATAATTATCCAGAATAAACCAGTAGTTTCCACAACAATACTTCCAGTTTTTGTTACTGTCCCACATTACCTCAGATCATTGGCCACTGAAGCTACTCCACACTACCCGATAGGCACAACATATTCCATATTAGTTGGCTACTAAGAAGATCAGCAGGTAGCCAATTATTAATATCTGAGGAGTAGACAGATCAGCGGGTAGCCAATGATGCAAAATCAGAAACTGCCATTTTTACTGTCACGAAAAATTATAAAAGTAGGCAAGATTTGTGGTTAAAATTAAGAAAAAATAATTTTATAATTGTCTAGAATAAACCACAGATTCATTGGTTTGGCCCACTGAAACTACCTAAATGGACTTCACCCATCATACCAATCAGTTATTTTCATTCCCTGTTAACACTACTTTGCATATTATATATCGAAAGAGATCAAACGGCCAGAAATTCACCTAAAATCAATTAAGCCAATGTAACTCAATTGAGATCCAGAATCAGCATAAAACAAAAATTGGAAAGCAAAACAAATAAATGAAAAGTATGATCACTCTTCAGCAGAATTTAAGCAAAGATCGAAACATTTGATAATAGAGACTTTTTTAATTGTTCCAGCCAACATAATCTGATATGTAGTAGAAATTCATAAATGGTGATGCAAAAATTTGGCAGTAAATAACCGCCAAAATGCCAAGTTATGATAATTTAGGAACTAAAAGGTTTCAATGCAATCAGTGCAGATGGTGAACTCCAAGCAACTTCAAAGTATTTATAATGTTATGTTCTCAAGCATATTTGATATATCTCTATATACCATAGAACTGATATTGCCACACTCACACACAAACAAAAACAAAATTTAAACCTAAATCTATTGAAAGACATGTTCACTTTCTTTTCAGCAAAAAACCAAACACAATTTAAACCTAAATCTATTGAAAGATACTACATATCAG